TTCCCCCCTTTAGAATTTATCTTCTAGGGACAATCTGACAATGATGCATTTAATTTAGATTCGCAGATTTTAAAAATAATTCTTTTGATATTCTTGGTATAGTGTATTTGCCTGCTCTCCAGCTCTGCTGCCCAGGCTGGAGTGCCATAGTCCAATCATAGCTCACTGCAGCCTTGAACTCCTGGACTCAAGCGATCATCCTCGATAAGCCTCTCGAGTAGCAAAGACTATCGGCTCACGCTACCAAGCCCAGCTAATTTTTTAAATTTTTAGTGGAGTCGGGGTTTCACCATGTTGCCCAGGCTGGTCTTGAACTCCTGGGCTCAAGCAATCCTCCCTCCTCAGCCTCCTAAAGTGCTGGGATTACAAGTGTGAGCTACTGTGCCTGGCACTATTCTCATTTTGATTACAATAAAATTTTAAGATTGGATAAATAATATAGCCAAATTATTGCAGCCAGACTACATCTACTAAAATTAAATGAAATTTCACTTGTCTGAAATCACGACATACTTTGGAAGATATGTTTGTCATGGTATTAATTAAAATTACAGCTATTTGGCACTCACCAAAATCTGTGAAGCACCTTAAAGACATAGGCTATATCCTGCAGAGCAGTCAAAACAGTTACAAGAAGAGGCTCTCAGGACAGCTTTGTCAGGAGAGACATACTATACATATAAAGACATAAGGGAGAGAGAAAAGAAACAACTATTTTACACACGGGCCCCACATGGAAAGCTACAGGCTGGGTAATGCAAGCACTGGTTTTTGCAAATCAGATGCTTTCCATACGGCATCTCCATATAGTGTGCTTTTGCTTTAGAGACTAGCAGCAAGATTTTCGGTTTTCTATTTGTTTGTTTGTTTGTTTGAAGACAGGATCTTGCTCCACCGACCAGGCTGGAGAGCAGTGATGTGATCATAGCTCACTGCAGCATCGACCTCCTGGGCTCAAGTGATCCTCCCACCTCAGCCACCCGAGCCACTGGACTACAGGCAAACACCAACACACCCCACTAATTTTTGTATTTTTTGTAGAGACAAGGGTTCACTATGTTGTCCAGGCTGGTCTTGAACTCCTGAGCTCAACTGATCCTCCCGCTTCAGACTACCAAAGTGCTAGGATTACAGGCGTTAAGCCACTGCACCTGACCAAGATATTTGTTTTCAAAGGGTGGTTAATAGTTACAATAAGAAAAATAGGGAAGGCTGGGGCACAGTGGCTCATGCCTGTAACCTCAGCACTTCGGGAGGCCAAGGCAGGAGGATCACCTGAGGTCAGGAGTTCGAGACCAGCCTGGCCAACACAGCGAAACCCCATGTCTTCTAAAAATACAAAAATTAGCCAGGCATGGTGGAATGCACCTTTAATCTCAGCTACCCAGGAGGCTGAGGCAGAATCACTCGAACCCAGGAGGTGGAGGCTGCAGTGAGCTGAGATTGCGCCATTGCACTCTAGCCTGGGTGACAGAGCAAGACTCCATCTCAAAAAAAAAAAAAAAAAAAAAGACGAAAAATAATAAGGAAGATTTGTTAGTAGTCTGTAAGTTCCACAATCATGTCAAGCATATTAAAAATTCCTTAAATTCCTTTTTTTTTTCCTTCAGAGTCTTGTTCTGGCTATCTTGAGAATATCTGATAGGAGAGAATCTAACTTCTTAAACGTATCTGAAAACCACAAGTACAAACACATGATTGGGCAATTCTAGCTCACAATGTAAAGGATGGTTCAAAATACTTACATTTCAGAAATGCTTAGTTCTTCTGCTGCTTCTTCAGCAATTTCATCATCTTGTTTGAACCCAGCTCATCATCATGATCACTTGCTATGTCTTCATCACTTTCAACTGGATCAAAAAAATCTTTGTACCTCACATTTCTGGAACTTTCACCTGACTAAAATAAAAAGATTTTTAAAATTATTAATTAGGAATAGAAAAATACATCATTAACACATGCATATATATTTGTATGTATACTGTATGTCTGCATTACTTTCTAACTTAATAACACTACAAGTCAAAAATAGTTACTAGGTGAAATTGGCAACTAAAAACACTACCATAAAACTATTATAAGAACAACTGTAACATAAACTGAATGGAAGTACAGATTCATGTATAACCGATAAGATAGAGCATAATATTTCTTAGCTCTAAATCTTCTAACTACATCTCTCCTAGAAAAACAGAACAAAAGCTAATTTGAAGAGGAAAGTGCTCTCTCCTCTCTCAAAACTTTACCTTAAGTTTTTTTTTGTTTTGTTTTGTTTTGTTTTTACCTTAAGGTTTTTTACTTCCAAACAGTCCCCCTTCATCTTCACCAGAATCAATATCTTCAAAAAAAAAAAATCAGTATCTTCCACCTCATCATCATTATCATCTTTTTGTTCCTCTTCTTTTTCTGTTTTCTAAATAGGCCTCCATTTCAGAGAGTTGGGAGAATTTCTCGTCTACTGTGGACTTTTCTCTTGGTTTTCCAAGTCCTTTGTTTTGCACCTTGCTCTGCTGTTCCAATTTGTTGATATCAAAGTCAAGGTCAGAATCCACATCACTGAAAACTGGGCTTTTCCTCAGTTCAAATTTGCTTGAGTTTTTAGCTTTCTTACCCACCTCAGGATTGTCACCACCCATATCTGACACTTCCTCTTTCTCCTCTAAATCTTCTAGGTCCTCCTGGCCACCAGCCTCTGTCTCTGAACCAGCCTCTTCACGCTCCTGTTCTTCACTCTCTGGGAGAAGACTGATATCTTCATCTGCGTTTCACTAACTGCATTTTGGAAGTGTTGTAAAATTGGTTCATTTTGCATTTCCAGTTTTTGCAAAGTCTGCTCATCATCAAAACTTTCTATCACAAGTTTTTATAAAGGGCTTCCACGGATCCCACTATTCTCTAATTAATTTTATTAAAGTCATAAAGTACTTTTGTTAAAGAAGTGAACTTTGATGCCAGTCCATCTTGAATCCTATTGGGAGGAATTAAATGAGATTTAGAATTATAGGTAATAATTTCACAGCCCTCTTAATTAAAAGAAAAATAAAAACTCCAACTCTTCTGTAAAATCAAATTTGAATGAAGTGTAAGTATAGATGCTGGCCCCAACAACATATAAGCTGATGAGCCACAGTGATATATAAAACCTGTCAACCAAGGATTTGTGAATCAGCTGTATAGATTTTAGGCAGGAAAAGCATTATAAATCGACTTGCTTGGAGATATATAGTGAATTAGCCTTAAATTATCAACTCAGCTACATTATACATCACTCCATTCATTCATTCATTCCCTTATTTCTTCAGTGATCAACATTTGCTTTGGCTACAGTGGTCAAGGAAAATCTCTCTTAGATGTGACATCTCAGATGAAATCTACAGATAAGGATAGTCTTATACAGATTGGGTAACATGTATTCCAGGCAGAAGAAACAGCAAGAACAAATTCTCTAAGATGCAATTCAGTTTGGTAAGCCAAAGGAATAAAGAAATGAGCATGGCTAGAGTGTGATGGAGGCAGAAGGCGAAGCTGGAGAGACTGAAGGGAGCCAAATTCTGCAGGGCTCAAGGGTAAGAGTTTGCCATTTTAAGTGTAATAAGAAAACATGAGAAGATTTTAAGCAGAAGGACGAAATGATGATTTACACGAAGGAAGAAAGGGAGGAAGGAGGAGGAGGAAAGTAGAGTGATTAGAAGGTTGATGCAGCATTCCAGGCAAAGGATGATGGTGATTTAAGCTGGAGTTAGAGCAGTGAATATGCTGAGTACAGTTTAGAGGTAGAACTGACAGGATTGCTAAGGAATTAGATACAGAATAAGAGGAAAATGAAGACATCAAAATAGCAGCCTAGTTTTGTGTGTGAGCAACTGGAAAGACAGAACTGCCATTTACTGCGATAGGCAAGGCTTGAGTGGTGGACCATGGGGAAAGGACTTCAGGGGATGGCAGAGTACAGGTGGGTGGAAACAACATTCTACTCTATTTTGGACACAGTGAATTTGCGATGCTGAGGGTACCAAAATTTTAAAAATTGTTAAAAGCCTTACAGTGCGGATATCCCAGTTGTGTGCTACTGAATTCCAACTAAGCTCAGTCTGTAGTTGCTGTGAGCCAGGGACTCAAGGGAGAGGTTGGAGTTAAATGAGTCATAATTTTATAGATCATATTTGAAGTTCTTCAACAAAGTACGCATAAAACGCTTGTGCTGGGAAGAGACATGAAAGTTCTAATTCTCAAGAAGCTTAGTTGGGCTGGACAGACAGCGGACAAGTTTGTACTTTCAATAAAGTATGATGACAGTGAAACACTGCTTTAGGAGCACATAGGCGGAAGGAGAAACCAACACAGTTTGTGTGTAGAGGGATGGGGGCAGTAATAAGCCTCAAGGGGAGCTTCTAGGCGTTAATAACTGAGGTTACGTTCATTTCAATAACATTCAACTGAGAGAGCCATACTGTAAAAATTTTTAACCATTTTGAAAATTTTGATAGCCTAGGAAAGTATAAACTCTGAAATGTGGGGAAGAGTGGTTTACATTTCCCCTTACCTTCCCTTAGCTCCACAATTTGCCAGGAGTCTGCAACTCGCGTCCACGTGCGACCCCAGTCCCACCCGAGCTGGGGATCTGCGCACTTAGGTGAGGATGCACTGGTGCCAGCCGGTGGCTTTGCCGACCTCTGTGAGACACCGCTCCAGGGTCTGTCAGCGCCAGGCCCGCGGGGCCATGGCTGTCTGCTACTCCGGACACAAGCTGCAAGCAAGACGAGAGAGCCGCTAGGAAACGCACAGCAAGCATGCGCCTAGCGCAACTCGGAGCTCAGAGTGGAAAGTTCTAGGGCTCGCAGGTTCCGGACTTACCCCCAGCTGGAGCCAATGGCAGCGCAAGCGCTTTCGCGTGCGCAGCGGGGCGGGAAACAAAAATTGCCACTGGCCAACCTAAGCGCCTTTGAACTGTCCCCAAACTTCGTTTTGTACTTTTCAGGGGCCCACAAGGGATGGCGTCTCCTGGCTTTAATTTCTGCTTTAGGTAAAGTGGGTGTGTTATATGCAGTAGGAAATCAGCGGCCTTTGGCACGCCCCCTGCCGGGTGGGGTCGCCCCGCCCCGCCCCGCCCTCCAGGGCGCAGCTGGCTGGGTCAGCCGCTACTGGGGTCGCCGTGGAGATGGCGGGCGTGCTGAAGGCTGCGGCCGCCGACGTCTCTAGGTGAATACCGGGAGCCAGTGAAGGTCGCTGTGGGTAGGGCATGTGGGAACGGAGGCCAGGGGGAGAAGGAGGCCTCAAGGTGGTCAAAGCACCTTGATGATGCATTCTGTTCCCCCGGGGCGCGTTCCACGGCTGCTGCCGGCACCTAGGCAGAGGGTACCTTCCAGAAACACCTCAGCTTAACTCGGGGATGGCCTCGTGCGTGACTCCCACTGCCACTTGGGAGCTGTGCGCCCTGGGCGCTGCACCTTCCAGTATGTGGGCCGTTGAGGCGGGGGATCTTGCCCAGCGGGTCCGGCAGGGCAGGGACGGAAGTAAATGGAAGCCGGTAGGTAAGTGTTATTTTACCGGGCACCCATAAAGAGGCTGGGGAGAAACCAGAAAGGAGAGCGAGTCTTGTTAAAGAAAAAAAAATTCAGCTGAACTGCAAGCATGACCAGCATTCTGTTGGGAACACTCAAAGAAAGGTCAGTGTTGTGAGGAATACAGAAGGAGTTACTTTTCCACGTGCCCTAGTAAGTTTATCATCGCGTGCATAAATGGAAAGATAAAGCATGTGGATTTAGAAACTTACTTTCTCTCTTTCTTCATTTTTTTAATTGTCTAGATAAAATAAGTTATGACAGAAACTAGAGTTTTCTGAGTCTCACTTTCTTTTCATCCTTTTTTTCCTCTTTCTCCTTTTATGAGAGGCAAGTGTTTCCCTTAATCTGAGATTACGTGCCAAGTGGTAAAGGCCCAGAGTTACTCCGGGACATTCGTTATAAATCCTTCTAGCACCAGAGCCCACATTCTTAACCATGAGGCATACTCACTTCTTAGGTGATACACGAAATCGGAAGGTGAAAATATAAATTAAAAAATGAATATTCGGGAAAAGGTATTTTTATATCTGTATTTTTAGAACTGCACACTTTAATGATTGACGGTTTGGGAAGAGTATGACTTCCAACAGGCCATATACTTACTGCAAGAACTGAATGCAGATAAAGATGCATTTTTGTTTTGTAACTTACACTTCTTGGCATAAAGTAAAGGAAAAATGAAAATAGTGTATTCCAAAAACTGATTTTGATTTGTCCTATTAAGATACGTGAAACTTCATGGCTCCATTTGTGTGTGTGTGTGTGGTCGAATATATGTAAAGTAAAATTTAGCATTTTAACATTTTTGAGTGTATAATTCAGTGGCTTTAACTACACTCACTTTGTTGTGCAACAGTCACCACCACCCCTCTCCTGAGCTTTTTCATCTCACCAGAACTGAAACTCTGTTCCCATTACACAACACCTGCCCATTCTCCTCTGACCCAGCTCTTGGCAACCACTGTTCTACCTTCTCTGTGAATCTGACTACTCTAGGTGCCTCATATGTGGAATCATATACTGTTTTTCTTTTCTGTGTTTGGCTTGTTTCACTTAGCATAATGCCCTCAAGTTTCATCCATATTGTAGCATGTGTCAGAATTTACTCTTTTTTTTTTTCTTTTTTTGAGAATGAGTTTCACTTTTGTTGCCCAGGGTGGAGTGCACGATCCCAGCTCATCACAAACTCTGCCTCCCTGGTTCAAGCAATTCTCCTGCCTCAGCCTCCCAAATAGCTGGGATTACAGGCATGCACCAGCACACCTGGCTAATTTTGTATTTTTTGTGGAGACCGGGTTTCTCCATGTTGGTCAGGCTAGTCTTAAACTCCCGACCTCAGGTGATCCGCCTGCCTCAGCCTCCCAAGTTGCTGGGATTAGCAACCACGCCTTCTTTATTAACACTTCTGTTCTTAAGTATCTTATGCATTTATCCACACATGGTTGTATACTGTATTTTATTCATGCAAAGCAACCTTTATTGGAATAATTGGAATAATCACAAATTATACATTATGGTATTCAAAATAATGCAATTCTGCTGCACCACTCTGAAATGGGAGGCAGAGAGACCTAAAACTGAAGAGCTGTGAATTTCTACCAATTGAGGGCCAACCTGAAATAAAAATATCTTTAAAAAGTTAGCCTGATTGTCAGTAATCATTTCATAATTTATACATATATTAAAGCATACATTGCATACATTGTATTCATTGAAGATACATAATTTCTATGAGTCCTCATACCTCAAGCTGGAAAAATATTACTACAAGTCAAAGGAGAAAATATAATAATTAAAAGTTCAATTCACAACAAACTTTTCAGAACACATTTTTATCAGATATAAAGCTCTGTTTCATTTTAACTCCTTTATTCAGGGTTCTCCATCCAGTTTGCTTGGTCTACACAGTTTCACCTTTGGATTTTTATTGTTGGATCATCTCTTCTTTTTTTCTTTCTTTTTTTTTTTTTTTTTGAGGTAAAATTTACATGACAAAATTAATCCTTTAAAAATGTACAATTTAACCGCAATGATCACATTCACTGGGTTTATGTGACCATCACCTTTGTCTATTTCAAAACATTTTCACTGGCCGAGTGCAGTGGCTCACGCCTCTGGTCCTAGCACTTTGGGAGGCAAAGGGAGGAGGATTGCTTGCGGCCAAGAGTTCAAGACAAGACCAACATGGCGAAACCTTGACTCTAAAAAAATA